GGCAACCAAGCCTCCTGCTTGCTCCAGCTCCGTGGCTGCCGGCCACCATCTTGGTTGGGTTAATTTGCATATAGTCGCTCTGATTGGCTGGTGGGCGTGGCTTAGGGCGTAGCAAAGGTACGGTCAATTAGCATCTTTGTCTTTTATTAGTGTAGATGTACAGATATATGTTCATATAGAAATACAAATATATTTGTGTACATAGATATATACTTAAATGCATGTGTGTATATGTAACCAATTTTTCCGAAAAGTATTTTTACACATTATGTTCTTAGCATCTTTCACTTAATAAGACAGTCTTTCCCTGATAAACATTTGTTTCAAATATTTTGCTATAACAAGCAATAGTATGTCACAGATCTTTTCCATATATCTTGGCACACGCATAAAAGCATGTAGACTAATACTATGACACACATGTAAAAGCATGTAGGCTAACAGCATGGCACGTGTGGGAAAGCATGTAGTCTAACAGCATGGCATGTGTGGGAAAGCATGTAGTCTAACAGCATGGCACATGTGGGAAAGCATGTAGGCTAACAGCATGGCACGTGTGGGAAAACATGTAGTCTAACAGCATGGCATGTGTGGGAAAACATGTAGTCTAACAGCATGGCACATGTGGGAAAGCATGTAGTCTAACAGCATGGCACGTGTGGGAAAGCATGTAGGCTAACAGCATGGCACATGTGGAAAAGCATGTAGGCTAACAGCATGGCACGTGTGGGAAAACATGTAGTCTAACAGCATGGCATGTGTGGGAAAGCATGTAGTCTAACAGCATGGCAGGCGTGGAAGAGCATGTAGGCTAACAGCATGGCACGTGTGGGAAAGCATGTAGGCTAACAGCATGGCACGTGTGGAAAAGCATGTAGGCTAACATCATGGCAGGCGTGGAAGAGCATGTAGGCTGAATTCCTGTAAGTAGAATGTGACAAAGGGTTTCATCAGTTGCTGTGGCTGCGCGCTGAGTGCTCAGTCCTCCAGTGGAGCCACAGTTGTGTGGCTTTGTCATGAGCTCAACTCGTGTGGCCGAGAGGCCAATCGCCCTGTCACACCTGGGCCCTGGACCTCACCTCAGTGCCCCAGGCCTGGTCTGAGCTCAGAGCCTGGGAATGAAACCATCCCTTGCAGAGAAACGCCCCTGGGCGTTCTGGCACGGGACACTCACCAGAAACAAGTACTGCTCGTCCCTCCCGACAGTGACTGTCTTGTTGTGGAGCGAAGTCGTCAAGCTCTTCGGGTTCCGATAGAGGTCAAGGAAGGACGTGGCATAGAAGATGCCATACACCTGACAGGAGAACAGGAGGGCGTCAGCTCCGTGGCCGTGACCTACCGTTCCCCTGAAATCCTAATGTAGACCCTGGACCAGGTCACAGAGCCCAGAGAGCAGTCTTCACTCCATGTCCATTTCATCAGCATTTACGGCCAAGGCACATGGGCCGGGCACTGTACTTGCTAGAGGTAAGTAAGGCACGGGCTCTGTCCTCACAGAGGCAGAGAAGAAAAACAGATAAGTAGCAAGTTGCCAACAGATTGTCAGGAGCTCCATAGAGGGGATCTCCAAAGCCGCAGCCCTCTACCAGGTGGAGAGGAATGTGGACATGGAGGGAGGTGGGAGCTTGCAGACTGGGGGGAGGTGGGAGCTTGCAGACTGGGGGGAGGGGGGAGCTTGCAGACTGGGGGGAGGGGGGAGCTTGCAGACTGGGGGGAGGGGGGAGCTTGCAGACTGGGGGGAGGGGGGAGCTTGCAGACTGGGGGGAGGGGGGAGCTTGCAGACTGGGGGGAGGGGGGAGCTTGCAGACTGGGGGGAGGGGGGAGCTTGCAGACTGGGGGGAGGGGGGAGCTTGCAGACTGGGGGGAGGGGGGAGCTTGCAGACTGGGGGGAGGGGGGAGCTTGCAGACTGGGGGGAGGGGGGAGCTTGCAGACTGGGGGGAGGGGGGAGCTTGCAGACTGGGGGGAGGGGGGAGCTTGCAGACTGGGGGGAGGGGGGAGCTTGCAGACTGGGGGGAGGGGGGAGCTTGCAGACTGGGGGGAGGGGGGAGCTTGCAGACTGGGGGGAGGGGGGAGCTTGCAGACTGGGGGGAGGGGGGAGCTTGCAGACTGGGGGGAGGGGGGAGCTTGCAGACTGGGGGGAGGGGGGAGCTTGCAGACTGGGGGGAGGGGGGAGCTTGCAGACTGGGGGGAGGGGGGAGCTTGCAGACTGGGGGGAGGGGGGAGCTTGCAGACTGGGGGGAGGGGGGAGCTTGCAGACTGGGGGGAGGGGGGAGCTTGCAGACTGGGGGGAGGGGGGAGCTTGCAGACTGGGGGGAGGGGGGAGCTTGCAGACTGGGGGGAGGGGGGAGCTTGCAGACTGGGGGGAGGGGGGAGCTTGCAGACTGGGGGGAGGGGGGAGCTTGCAGACTGGGGGGAGGGGGGAGCTTGCAGACTGGGGGGAGGGGGGAGCTTGCAGACTGGGGGGAGGGGGGAGCTTGCAGACTGGGGGGAGGGGGGAGCTTGCAGACTGGGGGGAGGGGGGAGCTTGCAGACTGGGGGAGGTGTGAGCTTGCAGACTGGGCGGAGGTGTGAGCTTGCAGACTGGGGGGAGGTGGGAGCTTGCAGACTGGGAGGGGGCCACACGGTAACACAGCAGCTGCCCGAGGAGGCCAGCTACCCATCCCTCCTCAGCTGAGTCCTGCTCTTAGTGGGAAGTGCTGCCTAAAAGGAGTCCACATTCCCGCCTCCCTCAAAGCTAGGTGAGCCACGTGACAGTCCTAGTCGATGGGATACAGCTGAGTGCTACAGGCCTCTGAGGGGGCCCTGCTTCCTTCCCCCCGCCGCCCAGATGCAGGTGAGGGTGTGGCTCCAGGAGCCTCTGGACCCAGAGGTGACCTGGAAGATAGACGCCAGGTGCAGGGTCTGGCCTGGGTCCCAATCAAACCAGGCTGCAGCTGCAGAAGCCGGGCGGCTTGACTTGGGACGGAACACGATGGTCTATGGCCACGTGACATTCCATGTCCATCCTGTGCAGCCGGACCTCACTGATACAGCGGGAAAGGGACGAGTCACAGCGGGGAAGGAGAATGTGAGGACGGAGTGGGAGCCGGGAGCTGATAGTGGGAGGTGCCGAGTGCGCTTCTTTGTAAGTAAAGCCACAAAGCATGGTCTCCAAGAGTGGTTTCTTCAGCGGGAAGAGAGGAAACTGGAAGGCCAGGGCAGCCAGGGAAGGAGGGAGCGATCAGGCCACGCAAGGGTCCCATCCCAGCAGCTCAGCGTGTTCCTCCGGCACTGCCTGCAGCCAGGACAGGGAGGGGAGAGCCGGGGTCCCGAGGGGGACAGACTCGAGGTGAGGAGAGAAAGAATTAGGGGCTCGAAGGGGGTGAAAAGCAATTATGAATAGAGTGGGACCAGGAAAATGAGGGGGCTCCAGCATGAGATGGGACAAGGAGGCCAAAACAGGCTGAGCACAGCGAGGACAAGCCTCTGATCACCACAGGGGGAGGACCATCCCGGGAGCACTGCGGGGGGGAGGACTAGCCCGGGAGCACTGTGGCGGGGGGAGGACCAGCCTGGGAGCACTGTGGGGGGAGGACCAGCCCGGGAGCACTGCGGGGGGAGGACCAGCCCAGGAGCACCGCGGGGGAGGACCAGCCCAGGAGCACCGTGGGGGGAGGACCAGCCTGGGAGCACTATGGGGGGAGGACCAGCCCGGGAGCACTGTGGGGGGAGGACCAGCCCGGGAGCACTGCGGGGGGAGGACCAGCCCAGGAGCACCGCGGGGGAGGACCAGCCCAGGAGCACCGTGGGGGGAGGACCAGCCTGGGAGCACTATGGGGGGAGGACCAGCCCGGGAGCACTGTGGGGGGAGGACCAGCCCGGGAGCACTGCGGGGGGAGGACCAGCCCAGGAGCACCGCGGGGGAGGACCAGCCCAGGAGCACCGTGGGGGGAGGACCAGCCTGGGAGCACTATGGGGGGAGGACCAGCCCGGGAGCACTGTGGGGGGAGGACCAGCCCGGGAGCACTGCGGGGGGAGGACCAGCCCAGGAGCACCGCGGGGGAGGACCAGCCCAGGAGCACCGTGGGGGGAGGACCAGCCTGGGAGCACTATGGGGGGAGGACCAGCCCGGGAGCACTGTGGGGGGAGGACCAGCCCGGGAGCACTGCGGGGGGAGGACCAGCCCAGGAGCACCGCGGGGGAGGACCAGCCCAGGAGCACCGTGGGGGGAGGACCAGCCTGGGAGCACTATGGGGGGAGGACCAGCCCGGGAGCACCGTGGGGGGAGGACCAGCCCGGGAGCACCGCGGGGGGAGGACCAGCCTGGGAGCACTGTGGCGGGGGGAGGACCAGCCCTGGGGCACTGTGGGGGGAGGACTAGCCCGGGAGCACCGTGGGGGGAGGACCAGCCCGGGAGCACCGTGGGGGGAGGACCAGCCTGGGAGCACTGTGGCGGGGGGAGGACCAGCCCCGGGGCACTGTGGGGGGAGGACCAGCCTGGGAGCACTGTGGGGGGAGGACCAGCCCGGGAGCACCGTGGGGGGAGGACCAGCCTGGGAGCACTGTGGGGGGAGGACCAGCCCGGGAGCACCGTGGGGGGAGGACCAGCCTGGGAGCACTGTGGGGGGAGGACCAGCCCGGGAGCACTGTGGGGGGAGGACCAGCCCGGGAGCACTGCAGGGAGAGGACCAGCCTGGGAGCACTGTGGAGGGAGGACCAGCCCAGGAGCACTGTGGAGGGAGGACCAGCCCGGGAGCACCGCGGGAGGGAAAGGGGTCTAGGAGCCAAGGGCCAGGTGTGAGGAGGCCGGCACAGCATAGGGACGAGGAAAGTCGCTGTCAGGTGGGGGCACAATGAGGGAGATGCCAGAGTCCTGGGGACAGCAAAGGAGGTGACCGCCTCCACAGGTACCTGGGCCCTCTCCCTCCGAAGCTACCTCAGCAAGAGGAGGCGAGCAGGCTACCTCGGCCCAATTCAGGGAACCAGAGAGCCAGGCCCGTCCCAGCGCCTGCGCATGAGCTTCGCTGGGGGGCAGCTGGGTGACCAGGGCGTCCCTCAGCGGGGGTGTAATGGAAAGCAAGGCCCGTTGTTAGCAGAGTCCACTTCGAGGTGAAGGGGGCCCTGGGACAGGCTGGGCATTCCTGACCCCGCCCCGCCCGGCACTGGGTTCTGCAGCCACAGGAGAGAGGGGCTAGGAGCCCTGTCTCCCGCTCTGAGAGCTCCAACGCTGGCCAGTCACTCAGTCTGAGCCTCAGTCTCCTCACGGGTAAAGGAGCATGTTCCCCACTGAGCTGCTGGCGGAGGAAGTGGGAGGAGGTGTGTGAGGGCTCCAGCTGTGCCTGGCACCCAGGGGGCACCCAGTAACCTGTGTTTCCTTCCTTCTTCGTGGCTGAGCTTGCAGTTACCTGCAAACTTGGTTTCACCCCCAGGAATCAGCCCTGCACCCAGTGCACTGGGTGCCCGCGGAAGACAAGCCGCAGGCCTCGTCCCCCCACAGCCCCTGAGGACACCCTGATTCTCAACGACAGATTTAGCTCCCTGTCCTCTTCCATTCGGCAAACCCGGAAAACACTGCTTCCCTGCAAGGAGCTTGCAAACTACTCAAGGAGATTAGAGAACAGATAGAAGCATCAAATAGCCCGGCCGGCTTGGCTCAGTGGTTGAGCTTCGACCTACTATTATGAACCGGGAGGTCACGGTTTGATTCCAGATCAGGGCGCATGCCCCGGTTACGGGCTGGATCCCCAGTGTGGGGCCTGCAGGAGGCAGCCAGTCAATGATTCTCTCTCATCACTGATGTTTCTCTCTCTCTCTCTCTCTCTCTCTCTCTCTCTCTCTCTCTCTCTCTTCATCTCTGATATCAATAAATGCATCTTTAAAAAAGAAGAGAGAAAGCATCAAATGGGATCAGCAGTAGCTAATGAAACATTACTCCATATGGACCCAACTGTAACGGTTTCAGGAGCCCCTGAGGTAAGCGGCCAAGGAGCAGAGAGCAGGATGTGACTGCACAGCAGGAGGAGGGCTCAGGGAGGTGAGCACACAAGCCCTGGGAAGACCCTCCTGAAGGTTAAGGAAGGGACGCACTGGAGAGAGGGGAAGTAACAGCCAGACTCGGAAAGAAGCACAAACTTAATCACAGGGAATCAAAATGCACATATAAGAACAAACACAAAGACCAGCATTCAAGTGCAGTGGGGACACTGGAATGGGGGGGTGCCCAGAGAAGGCAGCCTGGGGGTGGGGGTCACCTGTGGTGGGAGGGGATGGAAATGTGTCACCATGCCTACACCTGAGCCAGGGGAGGCCCACGAACTGGAGCAGCCACCTCTTCCACGCACGCTCCACACACCAACACACAGCAAGGGCACGTCCTCTCCGGGGCCAGGCCAGAGGGAGAAAGGGGTGCTGGGCTGGGATGTCAGGTGCCTCTATAGGTACCCAGAGCTGACCAGGAGGGTGGCTGAGCTTGAGGTGAGAAAGGATAGCCACAGAGGAGAGAGCCCAGCGCTGCCCGAGACCTAGAATCAGGGGGTCTGCACCCACTGGGGGGAGAGAGCCTAGGCTGTCCCTGAGCTAGAATCAGGGGGTCCGCACCCCTGGCTCACTCACCACATCCCGGGGCCCAGTCCAGGTGCATTCCACAGCCGTCTGGTTAAGGGCTTTGGCTTTGAGGCTGGGAGCCGGAGGGCGGACTCCTTTGGTCACGATGTGCTCGAATGCCAGAGGACTGTCCCCTAGGTCGGTCCTGGCCCAGGCGGCAATCTCGTATGACGTCTGCGCTGTCAGATTGCCCACTGTGGAAACAGGAAGAGGAGACGCGGAGGGAGCTGGGGTGGGAGTCGAGAACTGGCGTCCTGACAGGCACATCCTCTCTGTTAGTGAGGCCCCAGGTGGCGGGCTTTCGCTGTCACAGAAGCGCTGTTGCTGACTGATGACCACCACAGCGCCTAACCCCCGGTCAGCCGTCCCATGGAATCAGAGGGGCCAGACACGGTGCAACCAACATGGACATTAGCGTTTCTTACGGCGGAAAACCTGCACACAGTCGGACCGCCGAGGGTGGGCCATCATCACACAACGCACATTCCACAAACTCCACGTGTGTGCCATCCACTGTGACGGAGCCCCTAAAAGCTGTCTCCAAGGATATTTAACGAGAGCGAAAAGTCTTTACAATTTTATGTTAAGTGAAAAGGGCAGGCGATAACGCTGCATAGAAGTGTTCCGACTTTAGAGCTCCTATTCATTCAGGAGACATCTGAAGTTCAAAAGTGGTCTTCCCGGGAAGTGAAATTGTGGGAAATTTTAAACGGTCACTGCACTTGTCTTGTTTTCTCAATGTTCTGTCATGAACGGTGCCCTTTCTCTGTGGGTGACAATGTCGCTATGGAGCGAAGAGCGGTGAGCAAGGACTCCCGAGAGCACCTGGGACCGGAGGCTCCAGGCTCAGTGCATTCCCAGGTTAAAGCGGTCAGACTCCCTAAGCCCATTGTTTTTCTGAGAGAGAGAAGCAGAGCAGCACGTTTAAAGAAAATGCTTGTGAAGTGCTCGGCGTGATGCCAGCATCGAGCGGCCCTCCGCGCCCCCAGGCTGAGCCTTCCTGCTGACCTGCCGACTCCCAGTGTGCCACCGAGGCCCGAGGCCACTGGCTCTAGAATTAGAAAGACGTGGGTTCAAAACTGTCTCTACCACCTTCTGAGGGGATTACTGCAGCTCTGAGCCTTGTTTTCTCATCAGTAAATAAGACCCATCCCACAGATTGGTTATTGGGGTCACGCAAAACACACACCCCGAGAGCCTCGGCAAGCAAGCGCCTGCACACAGTAGGTGCCGACGTCACTTTTATTCTTGTGCAACCTCGTGGGCAGCTTTCCTCTTCCACACACACAGACAGTCCTCGCTCAGCCGTGAGGAACCACATGACCAATAGCTCTGCAGACAGGCCAGCGGGGAAGGGAAGATGCCCCGTGTCCTCCCAGGACCCACAGGCAGCCTTCTTCCTGGAGGGTCTCCCTGGCAGAATTTAAATCTTCCCTTGAGCCCTGGCCGGTTGGCTCAGTGGATAGAGCGTCGGCCTGCGGACTGAGGGGCCCCAGGTTTGATTCCGGTCAAGGGCACGTACCTCAGTTGCAGGCTCCTCCCCAGCCCGGGCCCTGGTCAGGGCTTGTGTAGGAGGCAACCCATCAATGTGTTTCTCTCACATTGATGTTTCTCTCTGTCTTTTCCTCCCTCTTACACTCTCTCTAAAAATCAAGGGGGAAATATCCTTGGGTGAGGATTAAAAAAAAAATCTCTCCTTGAGCCCATTTTCAAAGATGAGCATTTTCATTGAGACTCGGAATGCACACAGAGGTAAGGGGAATAAGACGATGTCCTTCCCTCCTTAGCCCAGCTTGTCCGTCCACTCACTCGACCAATATACACTGAACACTGACTATGCCCAGGCCCTGAGCTCCCTCGTATCAGCCCAGAAGGAGCCAACGAAAGCAGGAGAGAGACAGGTAACTGACCTGGGAGCTCTTTCCTTTGGAACTAAACAGCATCTGTATGAGGTTAATCTGGCTTCACTCCAGTGTTTTTCCCTTTAAGTCTCCAACTTCCATTAAGAGCCACCAGGGTAGAGGGGCTTGTGGATCCCTCCCTGGAGTCGGGAGTCACTCACATCCTCACTGCCACCTGAACGGCAGCCAGGAGGCCTCCGTGCACATGCTCTCCCCACGCCTCCCCTCACGGCTCTGCTGCCAGGAAACGGGCCTAGCCCATCCTCCGGCTCACACAGACCAGCTCCAAGGGGTTACCTTTGTGGGACAACATGCTCCCTCGAAAGTTCAAAGTCCTCTTCTCTTGTCTGTGAGTGTCAAATGCCCAAAAGAGGTTCACCACGTAGCCATTCACCTGCCACAGACCAAGAACGAGGTCACCAACAGTCCAGCCACGGGGCCCCCATCGGAGACGGCACCCCTTCCTGCGGGCTCTGCTGCCGCGCATCCCGATGGGAGTTGTTCCTTTTGGTCTTTACATGAATTCCGCGTGTGCTGCAGCGAGGGCTAGTGCACGCCCCGTTCTAAAGCCAGGTGGGAGGCCACTGATGATGTAAAATACACATTCAGTGAAACAAAAATTAAACAGAATAAAAGGACAAGAACCAATGCAGAGAAGCAGAAGGAGGGGAAAATGAAGAAGAATTAGGTCCTGGTAATTAAAGATACGTTGACGCTCAGGTGGTCCTTGCAGTGAAGGCCAAGAGGTTCAGTGCTCACAGGAGCGAGTGTGCCCAGACCTCAGTGCTCGCAGGAGCGAGCGTGCCCAGGCCCAGGAAGCCGGCCTCCTCCAGGTCCTGAGCTCATGGAAAAGCCGGACCTAAAGATCTTTAAATATGAGACAACAAACAAAACAAGAATGCTTTCAAGACCAAAGACAAGATGGACATGCTCCACGCGGAGGCTGCTTCTCGCACCGACCATCTCGGAAGGAGGGCTTGACAGCAAACTGCAGCGCAGTGAAAGGCAGAGACTCTGAAGGCTTCTGTCTGTCTGTCCCCCACACACTTCACAGACAGGATGATGTGAGGAGCAACAGGCAAGAAAGAACCCGAGAACCCGGGGCGCAGGTGACTATGGGAAGTCGGCCGTGCGGCCAGCTGAGCAGAGGGACGGGGATGGTGGAAGAGGGATGGGGTGAAGGGAGTGGAGGTGCTTCCACGTAGGTGACTCTCTCATAAGACGCGTTCCGCGGTGGCGCCCCTGCATCAGCACCAGCACCAGGCGATCCCATGGCGCTGAGCACTGCAGGGCACACGTCCTGTCGGCACTGGCCTTGTTGGCACTGGCCTGTCGGAACCGGAACCGTGGCTGCGAACCACTTAGTTACATGATGTGGGAAAGGCTCCGGCTGAGGCCGGACACTCCCAGTGCAGGCTCAGGGCTCTCCGTGGGAGGAGCCGCCGTGGGCTCCAGTGTCGCTGGCCCATCCCTTGTTTCCTCACTGGCACTGGGTCACCGCCCGCCTGCCAGCCGAGTGCCCGCGTTACCTGGACGTCGCTCTGCGTGGTCAGGGTGAAGCTCACAGAACTCTCGGTGCAGCCGTCGATGTGGATGTCCGGAGGAGGGATCACTGAAAGAACCAACAAGAGGCGTCAGGGGAGTGGAGGCGGCAGGACCGAGCGCTCCTCGGTGGAGGGACGGGGTCTCCTTGCTGTTTGTGATGCGTCTCTCATAGCCCTGCTTCCCGAGCTGAGGGGTCCCAGCCACCTGGCGACCACCGCTCCCGGGGCTCACTTAGCTCTCCTGCAGTGACGCCGAGCGGGAAAGTTCCATTATGTCGATGCCCAACAACCCGTGCCCGCCCAGGCAGAGGCCACGGTGCCCCTTCACTGGCACGAATAACGACCCTGTGGCCTGGTCCCTTTGGGACGACGACAGCAGAGTAAACAGCAGGCCGTGGCAAACGGAAAGAACCTAGTCCAGAGTCTGGCAAACCCAGTTCAACCTCCTGCTCAGACGCTAACAAGGATTAGCCACCCCTCCTCCCGAGCCAGAGCCCGAGAGGCGATCTACACTCCAGAGGCCAGGGCATCCCGCGGGGACGCCCGTAAGGGTCTGGCTCTCAGCTACGCGCCCCTTCTTTCCTCTCCTGTGAAGCCTCCTGTGGGAGCCTGGCATCCAGAGGAAGCGTACGCCAGCTGAGAGCCGCGGGGAGGGGCAGCAGGCAAAGGCTGCTCCAGGTCCCCGACCCGCTAACAGGCTCCTGCCCCAAACCTGAAGGGCTCAGGGGATGCGTGGTGCAGGGCACAGGCAGGAGAGACTCAAGGAGTGGACACCACCTGCTGGCAGAGATGGCAAGACCTGGGGTTTCTCAGATCATCAGCCATTAATGACACTGGGCTCGAGGAAACAGCACCAGGGAAGGAGCACCGCCAGGCGTGCCCGGTGGCAGTGCCGTGAGGAAGCTACCCGCATGACCACCATGCTGCAGCGTGCGCGGGGCGGGCCACTCTGCCGACTCGCTCCTCAGCCACAGCAGGTGCACTGTCAGACTCGTGGGATCAATGAGAATCAGAGGAGATCGATTCACGTAAAACAACAAAGTGGTACGCAGGCCACAAAAAGTGTTGCTAAACTGGCTTGTCTCATGTTACTATTCATCCACCACATTCAATAATTAATCTGGTCGATGCCACTGCTATTCTTCTCCTTCATCTTCTTTTTTCTTAATCCTTATCTGAGGATACTTTTCCACTGATTCTTAGAGAGAGTATAAGAGAGAGGGAAAGTCAGAGAAATCTCGATATGAGAGAAACACATCGATTGGTTGCCTCCTGCACATGCCCCTACCAGGGCCCAGACTGGGGAGGAGCCTGCAACCAGGGTATGTGCCCTTGACCAGGGATCGAACCTGGGACCCTTCAGTCCGCAGGCTGACCTCTATCCACTGAGCCAAACCAGCCAGGGCCTTCATCTTCTTAACATTATGACATTTCACAACAAATACTTCTGACTCAGTACAGAGCTGCCTCCTGCATGTACCCCAACCAGAACAGGCCGGGGGCCAGGTTCCTCAAGCCGAAGGGTTTAAGAGAAGCAAAGGCAGATGTGACTATGCCCGGGAGCTCAAGGTGCTGACCTTCCGAAGCACCTGGCTGTAGTACATCCAGTCAGTCATATTCTGACCCTGCTTTTGTGCAAGGACATGATACCACAATAAAAGCCCCGGGCAGTGGAATTCAGCACCTGCTCCAATCCCCACAGCACCTGCTCCAAAGCCTCTGCTGGATTTGGCTGCCTCCCGGCCTGATCTCGACCAGACAGGGACTCTTCAGGATCCGGAGCCGATCTCTCACAGGTTCAGGCGAAGGTAAGATACCCAAGACATTCCACGCGCCCGCCTGACTCCAACATCCATGCCCACAGTCCATCAACAAAGCCCCAGGTGCCACGGCAACATCGGGAGCCGCCTCTGCCTCCCCATCAGTGTGCACAGCCTCCACTTAATCGCTTCCTTTCACTCTCACCAACTGTCTCCTGGGTTCCTGCTCGGGGCCAGCGGCAGAGCAGAGGGAGCAGAGAGGCCTCTGCCCTCACAAGGCACCGGCCCCCAGCACGCGGGCCACGCGGGCCACAGGCTCGTCTCGCTGCCGCAGGTTCACGGCGGCTCAGGCACAGGCATGGGCAGCGGATCTGGCTCCTCTCCGCTGGCACTGACTAGGTGACAAGTGACGTGGCCTCTTTGCAGTCCCTCGTTTGTCCCTGCAGGTGATCTGAGGGGTCACTTAATGAGGGGTCACTGAGCCAGCGGCTGTCCCTACACCAGCTCCTGGGCTGGACACGGCCACCTGCACGTTGACAGAGCTGCCGGAACACAGTCCAGCGCCAGACGGACATGCACAGGAGGTCGTCACCTTCCGCAGAGGAGAGGGTGCCTTCTCCTCTGCTTGGGGTGCTGGCGCAAACACAGCGGGCCAGGCCTGGTGGCCTCTGCAAACCCTTTGCATGTTGCATTAGAAGAAGTGCCCAGTTCCCAGAGGAGGCATGCATTCTTGTCACCCAGGGCGCCCGCGCCCGTGTTGGGGGAGAGGCCGTGTGACGCTCTCTAATCCCGCCCTCCTTCCCCAGGCATGCCCAGTGCCTCTGCAGGTCGCTCTCTTCCCTGAATCTGCGACCTGGAACCACGCACCTCTTCCCCGTGTGGTGGTGATGGATTTGGAGTCGCTCCAGTTTCCTATTCCACGGCTGGTCACCGCAGCCACCTGTTCAAATAGAGTGAACTCTGCATGAAACACAGGCCATAACCACACAGCCAGACTCCCAGGGGCCAAGGAGAGAGACCTGGGCAGTGAGGTGTCACAGGTACAGGCAGGGGCCAGGATACTCAGAGGCCCCGCACCTGAAAAAGGGAAGAGGTGTGGGCGGGGGGCCTGGGGGAAAGGGAGCCGCGAGCACTGAGGTCAGGACATGACTAGGACGATGAAGCCTGGTTTTCCTGAGGAGCAGGGGAGTGTGCGCCCATAAACGCACACATAAGTGTGCACATACATGACAACGGCGCTGAGCCTTACAGTGTGAGGGAGTCTATGTATGCACTTCACGGTCTCAAACATGTTTGCACAAAATCTATCTCTTCTGCGGGGGATACTGACAGCGTGTTTTATAAGAACTTCACAGCACCCGTCTGTCTGCAAAGGCCGGGCACAGCTCTGCACGCGGTGAGGCTGAAACAGGAGAGGAGAGGTCGCGCAGAAGCACATGAGCTGGAGAGTTAGCAGAATATTGGGCACAGCAGGGCTCCCAGAAACCCTCGGCTCTGAGGGGCGTCTGACTTCAGGTTCTCTGGGACGGGACGCGGGTAAGAGACGGAAAGAAACAGCGGCTGCAGGGCGAGGCCGGGAATGAAGGTCTCAGGAAGGCAAGCAGGGCGCTGCGTGCTCAGGAGCAGCCCCGTCCCCCACGGCCCGAGCCCGAGCGAGGCTGCAGGGGCGCAGCTCACCCTGACGGTGTACTGAGTGCCGACCAGCAAGTTCCTGATCTCCGTGACGTTGCTCGCCGCCCTCTGGGAGGCCCACGTCCTGGAGCCGCTCCTGCTGTACTCCACCTGACGTGAGAAGAAACACGTGTTAGTGAAAGGCCATCACTGGTCGGGGCACCCTGACGCCTTACAGGGGCCAGAGAGCCGACGGGAAATGGGAGCTGTTCTAAGAGGTGATCGTTATTCACGAGGTCACATCCAACCAAATCCTAGTCACACGGAAGACACTTCTGCTCCGCAGCGCGCCCAGGAGGCACTCACAATGTACTCTCGCACGAGGCCCTGGCTGTGGGCGGGAGGGGCCCAGTGGCCCACAATCGCTCCTTCCTCATCCCGGGGCAGGGACAGCTGGAGGTTCCGAGGGGCGTCGGGCACTAGGAGAGAGGCAGGGGGTTAAACACGTCTGCACACCGGTTCCTGGGGGAGTCCTGAGCTTCGCACGAGGATGAGGAGGGGTCTGGACCGGCCTGTGACCTCTCCACCAGGCAGGCTGCTGCTGGTCCCCACACGACAGGAAAGGGTCGGCCTGGGGCTCGGCCTGGTCGTGGCTCACGGGGCTTTAATTACCCTGACGGGTCTCCCCAGCCCTTGTGATCAAGTCTCCCCACCTCCCAGGGCCTCCCCGTTATGAACCCCTTGGGAAAGACCCCAGCAAAGCTTCCAAAGCCCCCTCATTTGGTTTGGGTTAACCAATCCAGCCTTCGCTGGGAACCTCGGGGCACGCCACCCAGGACCCAGTACAGGCCCTGCTGCTCTGCCTGCACTGTCCTGACCTCCCGGGTGACCTGAGGCACACGGGCCTCCTGAGGGTCCGAGGGGCGCCCTCTCCACCCGGCTTCCCCATGGGCTCGGGAGGCTACTCAACGCCAGGCCCACTGAACGATGTTCATGTTAAATGTTAACACACAGGTCTGCGTGGCAGCAGCTAACGCAGAGCTCACGAGGCCGTGGACGCGGGAGCCTCGGACACACGCGTGTGGGGCAGTATCTTTACACTGAGCCACACATCTCTGACATGCCTCATATCTTAACCACGATGGGCTCTTAAGGGCCAAGCACTGGGAAACCCCTGAAGACAGAAGGCAGAAGCAGAGACTCGGTAACAAATGCAAAACAGGGCAGTGGTGGGCAGAATCTGAATGCACCTTCGTAGGCTAATTGTGTGACTTAATAAGGGTAAATGTCCACCCTGGCCGGTGTGGCTCAGTGGACAGAGCACTGGCCTGTGGATTAAAGGGTCCCGGGTTTGATTCCGGTCAAGGGCACCTGCCCAGGTTGCGGGCTTGGTCCCCAGCAGGGGGCGTGTAGGAGGCAGCCAATCAATGATTCCCTCTCATCATTGATGTTTCTCTCTCTCTCTCTCTCTCTCTTCCTCTCTGAAATCAGTAAAATACATTTAAAAAAAGAAGAAGAAATGTCCAGCAACGTAGGCAGGACCACAGAGCAGCCGCCCTGCGTCTACGCCTGAGGCATGTGGCCCCGCGCCCTCCCCGAGGGCCCCCAGGAAACCGAGACACCACTCCAGGCCTGTCGGGCGCAGGCACGGGCAGCACTTACGCCCCTCGGGGGTCCGCAGCGTCAGGACGTCGTTGGTGCTGTGCACCTTGCTCAGGCACTGCACCTGCACCTTCACCTGGTACGTGGTGTCCGGCTTCAGGACTCGGAGCCTCGTGTTGGTTTTGTTGCTATGGGTCTCCAGGGTCTTCCAGAGGCTCTCCCCCACCACCCTGGCCAACAGAATAGAGGCAGGTCACACGGAGGCGGGCGGCGAGATGCCCACCCGTGAACAGAGCCCTTCCCTGCACAGCACAGTGCTGCTTTCTGCCCGAGGGAGAGAGGGCCCGGAGACGGGGAGGACCCGCTCCCTCCCCCTGGGAGACAGGGCCCTGGGGTGGGGAGGACCCGCTCCCTCCCCCTGGAGACAGGGCCCGGAGACAGAGAGGACCCCCTCTCCCCCTGCGGGAGGACCCACCTGTAGTAGACATTATACACACAGGAAGCAGAGGGCATCTTCTTGGGCCGCATCCAGGTCAAAGTGACATCCCCAGAGAAGTCGGCCGTCCACTGCAGGTGCTGCACCTTGTACACAGTCAGTTCATCTGGAGAGAAGGGACACAGGGAAGAGAGCTCACACATTCTTGGATTTCAGAAGAGTCCAGAGGCTCCTGATGTGGGCAGACCTCCATGACCTAGACGGCCAGGCCACACTGTCACCCTAAAGACGCCCGAGAAAACAAAGGAGCCTTTCCTATGCAGCCCCCAGGGCTTCCTAGCTTTCCCCTCCTTGTCTACACTCATTTAAAGCCACTTCTCAATAGAGGGGGCTGGGTACAGGCCTGTGTCACAGCAGGGCTGCTGCTGCTGCTGCAGACTAAACGTGTTCCCTCAGAACTCACGTGCTGAAAACTAACGCCGGGACGGCTCAGCGGGTGGGTCCCTGGGAGGTGGTTAGGGCATGAGGCTGGAGCCACATGAATGAGCGAAGTATCCACACGAGACCTAGAGAGCTGCCTCGTTACCTCCCCAAGGACACAGTGGGAACCAGGAGACGGACAGGGAACCTGCTGGTGACTGGGTCTGGACGCTCGGTCTCCAGACTGAAAACTAAATGCCTGCTCTTTGTAAGCCACCCAGTCTGCATGCTCTGCGTGGCACCGAAGGGACTGAGGCCACTACTCAATTCATTCCAGATGGAAGTGCCAGGACTTGTGGGAGCAACGGTGCAGCAGCCTGGGGTGGGGAGCCAGGAAAACAGGCTCAAGACCAGCCTTTCTCACAGGCATGGGGAGCCTTCCCACAGGCATGGGGAGCCTTTCCCACGCCCACAGGCATGGGGAGCTGGAAGCCTTCCCACAGGCATGGGGAGCCTTCCCACAGGCATGGGGAGCCTTCCCACAGGCATGGGGAGCCTTCCCACAGGCATGGGGAGCCTTCCCACAGGCATGGGGAGCCTTCCCACAGGCATGGGGAGCCTTCCCACAGGCATGGGGAGCCTTCCCACAGGCATGGGGAGCCTTCCCACAGGCATGGGGAGCCTTCCCACAGGCATGGGGAGCCTTCCCACAGGCATGGGGAGCCTTCCCACAGGCATGGGGAGCCTTCCCACAGGCATGGGGAGCCTTCCCACAGGCATGGGGAGCCTTCCCACAGGCATGGGGAGCCTTCCCACAGGCATGGGGAGCCTTCCCACAGGCATGGGGAGCCTTCCCACAGGCATGGGGAGCCTTCCCACAGGCATGGGGAGCCTTCCCACAGGCATGGGGAGCCTTCCCACAGGCATGGGGAGCCTTCCCTGGGGAGCTGGGAGCCTTCCCACAGGCATGGGGAGCTTTTCCCACAGGCATGGGGAGCTGGGAACCTTCCCACAGGCATGGGGAGCTGGGAGCCATGCCAGGGGCTGGCTCAGACTGAGGACAAACTCAGAGGGTTCTCTCCAGTGACCCCAAGGGACGAGGCTGGGCCGGGGAACGAGGCTGTGCCAGGGGATAAGGCTGGGCCCTGGGGGAGTGGAGGGGGGCGAAGGGGGAGACCAGGCTGGGCACTCACCGCTGCAGGCCTGCTCGTCACTCTCATCCGCACAGTCCAGGAAGCCGTCACAGCGCTCTGAGGGCTGCAGGCAGGCCTCACCGTCCTCGCATGGGAACTCGCCGCTCGCACAGGCCAGGGCACCACGTGTGGCTGCAACACAGGGGGCCGTGCTGTGTGAGCATCTGCAGGTGTAGGAACAGGGTTTGCCCCGAGGATGAGCAGTGACTGAGCAGGTGCCACAGGGCCTGCTTCTGACGGGAACTGGCATCTGCTCCGTGACACTCGGAACCCTGGGGGCACACTGGGGCTCGATCCCGGCTCGGCATGATCTGCAGCAAACCACTGAACAGCACGAGCTCCATTCCCGTCTACAAAACCGGGGACAATCCCATCAGTGGTGTCTCCCAGGATCCAGGGGCAGCGGGAGGTCAGGATGCTTAACCATGTGTACGCCATAAGCATCTATAGACGAAGTGGAAGACCTTTTTAAACTAAATTCAAAATACTGTGGCAGTTAACTGGTTAAGGGGCTCTCTCTCTAGCCCCCCAAACCGTGCCGTCATTTAGCCTGTTTGTCAGGTGAGGGAGCCTCCTGCCCGCAGGCCCACATTGGCCTCTTCCCAGCTGCAGCCCAGATCAGGGTTCCTTCCTTAGAGACGCCAGTGCCCGGTGCAGCCCTGGTGGGCAGGATGCCGACAGTAATCGCTCTTTCTGTCCCAGCGGCAGTCAGAATGACACTCTGATTTCTGGTTTGAGTCATGCTAATAATGACGACATGATCACAACACTGAGAGGCAGCCCCTCATTATGTGGTATTTTAACTGTATAGGTTTCAAAGTATTTACCAGGAAATGAAAGAGTGCACACAAAGAGCATTGAGTGACACGAGTGACATGACCCTACAACTATGAACTGCAATCAGATTCCCTCTCCAGTTCTAAAGGAGGTAAGCTGCATCAGGCTCTAAAGAGCAAGCAATGACCACATAATAGCAGATGATTATCAAAAGGGAGAAGAGGAGGAAGGCTACAGAAAAGATGTAAACCTCCTGCCCACGTGAGTTTGGGCTGACCCAGGCTCAGGGGTTCAGCCTTCATTACAGACTCCCACGGGCCTGCCCAGCTGGACGGGAGAGGTCGGAACCCACCCACCAGGAGGAGGCCCTACAATCCTCCTGCTCCTCCAGCCAGAGATGTCGACGTCGTAATCCATGAGGCACGCTGAAGGTCACCTTACGTGGCAGGTGTGATTGAGCTAATGGCCCCAACGCATCCGGGATCATGGGGGGAGGGGCAATCCAACCGTGCGGCCCTGAGAGACCCTCCAGGCTGCGGTCGGAGAGGAGGGTGAGGTCAGAAGCAGCACCTGAGACGGACCTGCTGGTCAGACACGGAGGAAGGCGCCTCTCGCAGCCAGAATAGCAAGGAACCGATCTCTCCTGCCGCCACCGGAAAAGCAGCCCTGCCCACATGCTGGTTTTAGTCAGGAAAACCTACGTCCGATTTCTGACCCACAAACTATAGAAAGTAACTGCTTTTTAAGATGTTAGGTTTGTGGTGACTGTTGCACACACTCGATCCTCTGCACTTGGCGATGCTACTGGGTTTCTGAGTTCAAATTCTCATTTCTCTATTGGGACTCAAGACCAAACTCCTCCCAGCTCCTTCTCCCCACCCCACGCAAAATGCACTCAATATTCCATGCGATGACTATCCCGATATTACAAGAAATTACCCGAGATCACTAAGCCATGTAGATTCTGAGAGCAGAGAATTTATAAAACAGATTCGTAACAGATCCTTCTGGGGGCTTCTAAACATCACCAAGTCCTCGGAGCTGCCTAGCCCAGTGATGGCGAACCTATGACGCGTGTCAGAGGTGACACACAAACTCATTTTTTTGGTTGATTTTTCTTTGTTAAATGACATTTAAATATATAAAATAAATATCAAAAATATAAGTCTTTGTTTTACTATGGTTGCAAATATCAAAAAATTTCTATATGTGACACGGCACCAGAGTTAAGTTAGGGTTTTTCAAAATGCTGACATGCCAAGCTCAAAAGGTTCGCCATCACTGGCCTAGCCTGAGGCAGACACATGGAGCGGAGCGTGCGCAGTGTCTGCAAGCTCCGTGGCAATTTGTCAGCATCAGCCAGGGCTGAGGGATTCCGTTCCAGAACAAGGTCAGGTGACCTGTTTCCTATCGGAAGCTGCCTCTGCTCCAAGATGCAGCAGAACCTGGATGATGCCAGGGGAGGGACGAGCAACCGGGACATTTAACGAGAGAGGAAAGGACACAGGAGCCGGGGGAGAAGACAGAACCCTACAGCAATGGTCTTCAACTGAGGAGTTTCATGTGAAAGAAGAATTAAGACGTCTATGCATGTGTCTAGGATGGAAGTCCAGACTTCAGCTAAATAGATTTAAAAGACTAATCCTCAGTGAGAGAAGGAAAACATCACAACCACTTGGGAGGCTAATTACAGACTGTCACCCCATCTCCTGGAAAATCACCATCTGATACCGTGTCCCATGCTGAGATGAAACTGGTTCTCCTTGGGGAGGTGGGAAGGAAACTGTAACAGATAAAACTGCACTAGAGTATTTAGAAAAGGCTCGAGAACCACTGCTGTGACAGTCTCAGAAGCCCTAGATGGAATTCATTCATCCTTCTATCCACTCACCCACCCATCCATCTACCCACTGCTAACCCAGCCACCCACCCATCCATCCAGCCACCCATTATCCACTACCCACCCATCCATCCATCCATCTACCCACCACTAACCCAGCCACCCACCCATCCAGCCAGCCACTCATTATCCATCTACCCGCCCATCACCCATCCACCCATTTATCCATCCATCATCCAACAAACATTCAGGGACATCTCCCAATGAATGAGATGAATAAGATGAAGAGGTGATGTGTAAACCAGACAAAGGACCTGCCCTCAAAGAGTTTATCTTCTATTGAGAGAGACAGCAAAGAAGTAAACAAATGTGTCATTCTGGATAGTAGTAGTAATAAGAGCTACAAAGAGAGTAACAGTACGAGCGTGACGGGGAGCAGGGGGGCGGGGCGGGGAGAGTCATTTTTACAGGACAGGTAGGGAAGAGCTCTCTGCTCAGGAGAGGATTGGTTTGGAAAAGTCCAAGGTCCCCATCGCAGAATTATTCCATATGATAAGAATGTCGTAAAATATAATCCAACAGCTGAGTAGTGAAGCTGGAAGATGTCTGAGGTTCATGAAACATGCCTCAAAATTTTGAAAGTGGGAAAACATAGGGTTTAAGTTAGAAATGAGGTCGTCATTATCTCTGAAAGTCTTGACCTGGTGATTAAACATGTATTGATGGGCACGTGGAACAGAGTGCAGGGTGCTCAGGGGCCGTCCTCTAAGAGGAGTCAGGCCGCACTCATCCCATTTCCTCTCAGACAGGCTCTCAGATTAGTGAGTCACACACTCGTCGGAGAGCACATCTGGGTTTTAAGAGCCTTAACTAAGCAACATCCTTAAGAAAAGGCAGATTAAAAACCGGCTAAACTTATTTAAAGAATGAATACCAATCAATGAGTTCATCTCACCCAGAAGGAAGGTCCTATTCCAACTCCTTGTTGTTAACCTTTTCCCATCTTATTGTGATTAATTCCTTGGCTCAGATATTCCTACTATTATTTTGACAAGTGTGGGTTAAATCTGACCTGTTACCTTAATGTCCCAATGGTATACACTTTGTTCTTTTAATGAAATGTGAAATTTTACACTAATCCTTATCTAATTTCTCCGTGTTATTTTGGAGTACTCACCCTTTAAGAACTTTCAACAAGACATGATAAAAAGATAACAACTTTGGCCCTGGCCGGTTTGGCTCAGTGGATAGAGCGTCAGCCTGTGGACTGAAGGGTCCCAGGTTTGATTCTGGTCAAGGGCACATGCCAGGTTTGCAGGCTTGATCCCCAATAGGGGGCATGCAAGAGGCAGCCGATCAATCATTCTCTCTCATCATTGATGTTTCTATCTCTCTCTCCCTCTCCCTTCCTCTCTGAAATCAATTAAAATAATAATAATAAACAGATAACTTTGTACCCAAAAAACCCCCCAAAACTAAATAAATACTCCAGTCTGTTACTGATGGCATGTCCTCTCTGAAGCCTAATTTTCCTATCCCGTAGTAGAGATGATACCAAAATGACAAGGTGAGTGAGACGAATGACACACGGTAATGGCACCCCTCCCTGGGCTGAGCCCCAGCTCACAGCAGCCGGCCTCGTCCTGGCCTCCCGGGCAGTCGCGACGGCCATCACAGCGCTTCCAGTTGGGGATGCACTTCCTTGGCTGGTGGCACTCGAACTCAAACCGGTCACATTGCCCAAGCTGGGTGGGCACGGAGGCAGCAGTAACACCGGCTAGAAAAAGATTTTTACAATTTACTTTTTAGAATGGAGGGAGCTGGCCGGCAACAGTAACCACTTCCACGCATTGGGAGCTTACAGTGTCTCAGGAATTACTACGAGGGCCTGAGACCAATGTGAGTTCTGGAAAAGACACTGACTAGACACAGGCATCTAATTTTGCTCTCTCACGGACCTAAAAAGACAAGAGCAACACGATTTTGAGAGCTGGGAAGCAGCCAGCCAGTGATGGGTGCCGAGAGAAACCAAGAAGGCTATAACCTCTCTGAGCTGTCAGGGAGAAAGCTAAGAACCAGCTAGATCAATGTCACAGAATCTTCAAAAAGCTTGAAATTGGTATCTCAGCCTGGGATGGAGAAAAACGGAACTCCAACACGAGGGAGGAAAAGTGAGTCCTCAGGATGACGAAGAAGTTACAGCTCAGAGAGTTACACCTGTGTCCCGGGCAGAGGGCAATCAGAATGAATTCACAGCAAAACTCACTGTGTCCGTGGCTCCTGTATCATCACATTCACCTGACAAAGCTACTGGAGGGTGTGCCTCAGCAAAACAAGGGAGTAAACCAAGAAAAAGCAGGACACACGATCCAGAAAACAGAGCATCTACATCAGGGAGAAGTCAGAGAGCATTCCCAGGAGGGCAGAGAAGTCCCAGGGCTGGGCACGCTGCCCAGAAGAGGCCCAGCTGGGGGAGGAAGAGGCCCAGCTGGGGGAGGAAGAGGCCCAGCTGGGGGAGGAAGAGGCCCAGCTGGGGGAGGAAGAGGCCCAGCTGGGGGAGGAAGAGGCCCAGCTGGGGGAGGAAGAGGCCCAGCTGGGGGAGGAAGAGGCCCAGCTGGGGGAGGAAGAGGCCCAGCTGGGGGAGGAAGAGGCCCAGCTGGGGGAGGAAGAGGCCCAGCTGGGGGAGG